ATTGGCCCCTGCTTCCACCTCGATCTGGAAATTGGCCCCTGCTTCCACCTCGATCTGAATATTGGCCCCTGCTTCCACCTCGATCTGAATATTGACCCCTGCTTCCACCTCGATCAGAAAATCGGTCCACATCCCCACCGCGATAAATAGGTTGACCCATGCCTCTACCACGATCAAAGAATTGACCCATGCCTCTACCGCGATCATAAAATTGTCCCGAGGCTCCACCGCGATCAGAAGATTGATCCCTGGCTCCACCACGATCATAATATTCACCCCTGGCTCCACCCCGATCATAATATTCACCCCTGGCTCCACCCCGATCAGAGGGCTGACCCCTGGCTCCATCACGATCCGAAGATTGACCCCAGCCTCCACCCCGATCGGTTAATCTTGACCTTGGGCCTCTATCATATGATTTATCAGGCTGTCCACTACGCCTAGGCTGTCTCGTTGGGCTGAAATGAAAGAAACAATTGCTTTACCAGAAATTCAAAAAGGTGAGAAGAATAAAATAGTTGTCTATAATCTTTCATGCTAATAAGAATAAGTCAAAAACAATGAAAAAAACAAATTCGAAAGTGGAACAAGGAGAACGATACCCAGACATGAAGGAGACGGAGAAGGAGACGGAGAAGAAGGAGCGTAAAACGCGGATGTGAAAAAGGGAAATAAAACAAGGCAAGAAGTACAAGCATGTTTAGAAAACACATTCGGTAATTTATTCGAATAAAATAATACAACTGGTATTCATGGGATTTTTTATAACGTAAATACATAATTATTAGCACCTTAATATTATTCCAAAACTCACAATGGATACTCCAAATGGATGGTATGGCAATATGCTTTTTTAAACATGTTTCATAATAACACTTTGATATATGCTAAGTCTTTTTTAATAAATTATAGGTTCTATTATATTAAAAAATATAAATAACCAAAAAGATAACGCCTTCTACCTAAGAGTGTTGCTTTCATTGAATCCTATAAATAAACTTACTTCTATTAAGAAGCCAATATCATCTACCTAGAACTAAGAAAAAGGCTACCAAACGATTTTCAGG